TACGTAATCTTTAGTGCGTATTTCCACTGGTTAGCCACGTGCGTCTGATCGCGCGTAACTGCAATTAGTAAGTCGCGTGTATGGAACCATAGCTATACAGAGGGTCTATTACGAACATTTGCGTGATGTTTTCGAGAACATATGCGTAGTCATTAAAAAAAAAATATTCTATTTATTGGTGTACTTTATGGGCATCGCCAGATGAATGTGCGGGGAGGGGGGCTAGTAGTGTTTTTTTTTTATTTCAAAGAGAATGTTTAATAATATGTAATCAAATTTTTTCATATAAAAATGACATCATTTGCAATTTTCTAATCTCCAGGGGAAGTCCCCTTTTGCAGCCCCAGCTGATGCCGACGATGTACTTTACGTCCAAATTTAATACAAATATAAACGACATTACGAGACTGTAAGAAATATTCGTAATAACCCCTCTGTTCATAGGGCTTAGGTGTGCCGCTGTTTCCCAATAGTAAACTAGTCTACTTCGATAGTAGGGCACAATGTTTAGCCAAACAAGACAGAATTTACGATTATTAACTGACATCCTACTTGTGCCCTATATTACTAATATATTCCAGTTGTAATTTGGATAGAATATCGATTTATATCTCTTTGTCAATGAAAATAGCATGCAAAGGCCTCTACCTTTACCGAAGAAAGTATGGATGGATTATGTGAAAGAGGATATGCTTAAGAAAGGAGTGGATTCAAATATGACGGCTGATAGAGATGTATGGAAGAGCAGCACATAGTGTGCCGACCCTCCGTAAGGGATAAGGGCAAGTGGATTTTTTTTTAATTTTTTTTCTAAAATTAGACAATGACAACATTAATAAACGATAAAAATCATATCAAATTTAAAAAGGATACAGCACATTTGTATGAGTATATTATAACGATATTATTCTTGTAAAATCAATGAATTCGTTAATGCAAAATAATAATTTCAAGTAATAAAAATCAAGCAAGTTTTTATTTACTGTGTTGTGTTCATTAATGAATTAAAAAATAGATTTACAGTTAGAGTAATTTAATTTAGAACACGTATGACACAGCCAACTTTCCATACTAGGGCATAATCGTGGAGTTTCGCAAGGATCAATCTTAGGTCCTGTTTTATTAATAGTTTATGACAAGAATTTTATAATCCGTTTCTAAGATAAATGTCCCAATTACGATTAGCAAAGGATATCCTGTAACTTTACATAGTTATGCTATAAATAATTTCATAACTAAACGTGATGTAATAATTCAAAATAGTTTCTTTCATTGAAAAATTGAGAAGCAAAAGGTTAGCGTGGTATAGACATGTTATGCGACGAGACGATGGAGACATAAAACAAAAAGTGTCAAGAATGAATTTAGATGGCTACAAAGGTAGAAGAAGATCGAAGAAAGTATGGATGGATTGTGTGAAAGAGGATATGCTTAAGAAAGGAGTGGATTCAGATATAACGGCTGATAGAGATATATGGAGCAGCACATACTGTGCCGACCCTCCGTAAGGGATAAGGGCAAGTGATGATGATGAGTTTCGTTTTAAATTATTTTGAACAATATATAGATTCACTTAGTTCAATCTTTTAATTTCTTTTAATCGTTAAAAGTTGTGAAGTGATTTCTATTCTGTAAATGTTTTATTATTGTAGGTCACATAATGGTAATAGTTTTTATTAAAACTTGCTAGCCCTTGACTGGGCTAAAAAAGTATATACCTTATCGGTAGATCTATTGGTTACGTAATCCAAGCCTTGACCCTTTGTTACTTTAGATTCTTTTAGATTTAATGTTTACCTGCATTGCTACAAGGAGATTATCAAATTATACTTCAAATAAAATATTAAAGAGATAACTTAGTTCGATGTTCAAAATTAAACGATATCTAAAGTCTAGATTAGATTCTCTCGGCACGGTAATAAAAAAACTCCTGTGACAAATTATATCGAGATACTTTAGTCGTTTTGTAAGTAATCTAAACATTTACCTTAACAATTTATTAATAATATAAAAACGAAAGTTTAGATGGATGAATAGATCTTTACTATACTTTTGTTTTTTTCCACGCAGACGGAGTCGCAGACGATAGCTAGTATTAGTGTAGTATGATATTATTAAGATCTCCGATAGCATATGTTATAGTTGAAAATGTAAAACAGCAAGAAATATAAGTTTGCTTTGATTTTGCAGTCACCAGCCTTGGTCTCGATTTCGTATCGGTTCTGTGCATTCATTCGAATCTTTTTCTCCCGACTGTGAGACTTCGTTTGCAATAGATTGTGTTATTTCTCATGACTATTGTTCTTAAATGATTACTGATTTTAAATTTTGAATAATGAATTGTTAAGATATAAGAACTTTGTGTCCTATATTACGTTTACAAATGATGTCCACTCCCCCTGATTTTCCTGATTCGAGTTTTTAATTTGGAGATCAAATTGAGGAAGGTTTCTCATTTTACTTTGTTTTATTTTCAGTTGCTGTTGGTCTGCAGCAGTTTGACAACAGCAAAAGAGGACAAATCAAAAGTTTCAGAACTTCTAGAAAATGGAATCAAAGACGGATCATCAGTAAAGGGAGTCAAGAGAGGTATCATTTCCACCGGACACTACGGTCTCGATGGCGGCATCGGTATCGGTCATGGCGGAATTGGAATCGGCCATGGAGGAATTGCGATTGGACACGGAGGAATCGGTCTCGGATCTGGTATAGGCATCGGTTCCGGCCTTGGAATCAGTTCAGGAATTGGTATCGGTTCAGGAATCGGCATCGGTTCAGGAATTGGAATCGGTTCTGGAATTGGATCTGGCATAGCTGTTTCTGGAGGAG